AGCCTACACTGCTAGACTACCTTACTTCGATCGCCCCATTACTTCTGAGRWAGCTTATGAGGCGCTTCAATCCATGGYTAAAGGAAAGGCTCCGGGGGATGATGGTCTCCCGGTAGAACTGTATTTAGTCATATGGGACTCTGTGAAGGACGCCCTAGTAGACATCTATAACAATGTGTTAACAGGTGGAGAACTTTCGAAAGGGATGCGGAATGGTATCATTTCTCTGTTGTATAAAAAAGGYGACAAATCRGAGATCYGTAATTGGCGTCYGATTTWTGTACTTAACGTTTCCTACAAACTTCTGGCAAAGATTCTTGTCCGTCGTCTGGGAAGATACCTACGTGGCCTAGTSGGCACCGATCAAGCTGCTTTCGTACAAAATCGTTCTATCTYTGATAATATTGTTACAKCGATCGAAGCTCTGGAGCTGGTTCAATCTAAAGTCCTGGATATTTCAATCTAAAGACCTGGATATTTCAATCTTCATGTTAGATTTAGAAAAAGCATACGACAGGGTAAACTGGACTTATGTCCTAACCACCCTGCGTCACCTGGGCTGTGGAGTCAACCTACAGAAGTGGGTAATAGCTCTATATTTCATGTCTACAACTGCTGTTATGGTGAACGGTAGTATCTCGCAGCCCTTCGTTCTTACCCGTTCCCTTCGCCAGGGTTGTCCGCTTGCTCCTCTGCTCTTTGTTCTCCAAATGGAGAATCTCCTCTGTAACATCAGGGCACATCCTGAGATAGTCGGTCTGCAAGCTGGTCCTTCCCAATGTAAGGTCATGGCCTTGACCGATGACCTCTTTGCAATCTCAGCAAATACTTGTCGCTCTCTGCAATCCTTGAAAGTCTGTGTTGATGAGTATTCCGAACTTTCGGAAGCTTCGGTCAACTGGGCTAAGTCTGTGTTTTTCCTTCCTAGTCAGTTTTCTCCAACTATCAATTGGCGTATGAAACGCATTTTGGCTGATTCTTCAGAAAAATTTCTTGCCGTTCAAGTTTCTCTGTTATCCTACTCAATCCATCAGGAGGGAATTCTCCTCCAAAAAGTGTTTCAAAGAGTTTCTTTGTGGGGAAAGGCCCCACACTTGTCTATCTATGGACGAGTCATGGTTGTAAATGGAGCCCTTTTTGCCTAGTTGTGGTTTGTGGCGGCAGTCAGACCGCTGGGCAAGCACCTGTGCACCCTGATCAAACAAAGGACGGTTAAGTTCATTTGGAAACCGTTCGCCCCTGATCAGGAGGCTTTCATGTCTAAAGTTGCATGGGACCTCCTTACCTTTGCTAAATGTGAGGGCGGTTTAGGTTTGTGTGACCCCCAGCGCAGAAGTTTGGTTATGCTTGTCCGCTGGCTTATTAAAGCAGTATGCTCGTCACAGACATCCCACTGGATTGCCTTCTCAGGCGATCCTGTGACAGGAATGGAACCTGGCCTGCCCCTCAGATGTGTGGACATGCTTCCTGTTGCCGTCATACCAGAACAGGAACATAAGATCGGACTTCTGGAAGGCGGTTATGTTTGGAAACTTCTGAAACCAGATTCCTGGCTCCATCCTGTTACAAAGGCAGAGGTTCTGCTGCAGCCTATCTTTGAAAATCCCCATATCAGGAGAGTAGATGACTCTTGGTTTGGGGTGGACTCTGGGCGTAACAGTTTCGGTCGTAGATGGATAGAACGAGGGGTTCTCAGAATAGCTGATCTGTGGAATGATCTAGAGGGACAATGGCTCTCCCCAGCGGCCCTACGAGAAACCTTGGGGGCCTGCTGGTACGTGGAGGAAAGGTTCGGACCATGAGATTTTGAATGCCATTCCTGCAGATTGGAACTATTTACTGAGTCTGGAAGGTATCGGTCCCCCAGGTACCTGGTACATCTCAAGGAACTTGGATTCTGGAAACTCCAAAACTTGGATGAAGTCGGTAACAGAGAATTCCAAGGTTGGATTGGTATTAATGAGCAATCTCCCTCCACCTTGACTGAGCTTGATCCCCCTGCTCAACCCCCATTGGGATCTCAGTTATCCCAGGTTAGAGTTTGGGAAATTTGTGATGAAGAAGGAATTTGGACATGCAAGGTTCAGGCCCAAGGTAAGTTACTGAATCAGCTGAATCTGGACCCTAGGATGTGGGGCTGGAAAGGCCAAGGGCAAGAAGGGGAGGATTTGCCACTAATCTCCTACACGGTGGACCTTGGATACCAAGCTCAGACACCTCCCAAAACTCCCATAAAAGTGGCTCTAGCTCGATGGAAACAAGTCTCGGATACTCAACCTGAAGTGATTGAGCACCGTCTGTTACGATGCTGGGAACAGCTGGCGGAAGCCCCTTACCCGAGACCGGCAGCCAACTTGTGGCTACTCTCCCTGTTGGCCACCCCATCAGCAGTCAACCTAGCACAAAGGGGTATGAGGGTGGATCTGACGTGTAAAAGATGTAATTGGGCATACGAGTCTACTCCACATTTATGGTATGACTGCCCGGCTTCTAAGCGAATCTGGGACTGGTGGGCGGAACAATGGCGGCAACTGGTGGGCTCAGATCTTAACTGGGACAGAGAGTGGGCACTGCTGGGTGGAATTCCAGACAACTTGGACACGAAGAAGGGTGCGGGCTATATGGCACAGGCTGCAAGGGCAGTCTGTATGGCAGTGATCTGGAAAAACAGGAATCAGCAAGTCTTCGAAGATAGGGGAATGACAAACAAGGAAGTGAGGCAAATGTCGCGCTCCCTTCTGCGATGAATGCTACAGGCGGATTGGAGAAGGAAATCTGGGGCAAGTTGGTCCAATTGGTTTGGCGTTACATGGGGTATAGGAGGCAGATTAGCTAGCTATGACAATGGGAAGTTGACCTTGAACAGTTGGTTCTGGAAGGAGTAGTTAAATCTGCACACTGGTTTTTCTTTTCCTGAACCTGCACACTCGGTTCTTACATCCGCAGGAGGAAGGCAGTTGGGAGGAATGTGGAGGGAGTAGTGGCCGATCATTTATCCGGTCCACGGTGGTCCGGAACTGCCGTATTAGGCAGTTATCCTTGTAGTTAGGTAGGGTTGGTAGGGTAGACAGTAGATAGGTTACTAGGGGTAGTTTAGTGGGGATTTTATGTGCTTTTCATTTTGGCTTGATGCAATTGTTTCTTTTATTTTTGGATTGTGAGGCTTTCTGGGCTTGTAGCGTCCTTTAATTTTTACAGGGTCTGATTCTTCAGGACAGGGGTCTATGTGTTGGCCAATCTGTACCTAGATATTTTTCAACCCTGTCGGGTGTTTTGAGATTTTCTATGATGGAGCAAGTGATTGCTCGCAGGCTCAGCCTGTAAGCCAAGCTGGCTGATGCTGCCAGATACTCTGGGTTGAATTGTGAGGACCCCGGCCTCTGGTTTACTTTGGCAATATAAATGGACTGAATGGTAAAAAAAAAAAAAAAAAAAAAAAAAAAAAAAAAAAGTTAGGGGCGCGACTCTGTCCTTTGTGGACACAGGGCCTCGCCACACCTTTCTCCAAAACAGCGATTTGGAGAGAAGTGGCATCGCCACACCAACTCCCGAAAATCGCAGTCAGAAAGAATTTGGAGAGCGGTCAGAATGCGATCTCGGGGCGTGCAAAGCACCGGATTTGAGGAGTGGTCCGAGGCTCCTCCGATTTCGGCCCCAAACTGGAGAGTGCGCCTCGACCGACAACCATCTGTTGCCACCGTTTTGTCTGGGTTCGCCATACCACTCTCGAAATGTAGAAAAGACAAAAATGTGGTGGGTGCATCTGGCCATGTTCTAGCGGGAAGTTCATTCTCATTTTGCAAATTTCGAGAGTGGTGTGGCGAGGCCCGTCGTCTGAGCTCTCCATAAAATGTCGGGCCTCGTCTGACGAATTGGAGACTGCCGCCTTGGAGAGCGCAGTGTGGCGAAGAGCCCTCTCGAAAGGTTTTTTCACATCTCCCGCGTTCGGGAGTGCGTTTTCGGGATAGGTGTGGCGAGGCCCACAGAACTCGTGTGTGACACAGAACTCGTGTGTGACCACACTCTGTCCTTTGCGGTCACACACTAGTTCTGTGTCCACAAAGGACAGAGTCGAGGCAGAAATGTTAGGGCCGCGACTCTGTCCTTTGTGGACACAGAACTCGTGAGTGACCGCACGCGCACCCAAAGGCACAAATACATGGTACCAAACGCCCCAGACACGGAACTCGTGAGTGACCGCACGCGCACCCAAAGGCACAAATACATGGTACCAAACGCCCCAGATATTTGTGACTTTATGTACCCGTGTGAGTATGCCCTCATTTGTTTTCGTTTCGCTCGCTTGGTGTGGCGATGCAGCAGAAAACGAAGTAGAAATGAACTTACACCCTCGCGAACGGTCGTGAAAAAAAAAATCCTTTTGTTTCCCTTTCGCTGCCATGTGGCGAAAAGGAAATAGCTTAGAGGCTCGCCACACAGGCTGTTGAAACTCAAAAGGTTTCGACAGGTGTCAGAAAAAAATCGAAAGTCGGCCGTCGACAGTTTACCCCCCCTTCGCCACGCAGGCTGTCGAGGGGCAAGGTTTTTGGTCTTGGCCAGGCGGACGGGTTTCACGGAAGTAGACCATTCTGACACGTGTCGAAAGTTTTTTGAGCCGCAATTCTTCGAAAGTCTGTGTGGCGATGCACAATTGTCGAAAACCGGGTTCTCGACAGCCTGTGTGGCGAGCCTCTTAGTTAAAAAACAAGGTGGATTTGAGAGAGAGGCGCGCACCCGGACATAGAAGTAGGAGAGCTTCGGGAGAGAGAGATCCACGAACCTGCTCCAGATCTCCATCTTCTTCAGCGGCGCGTCACCTTCAGAGGTCATGTTGACGTCTCGAGGTCAGACGAGACGGGTTCGGTGAAGGCGCTGGGTGTTGTCGATTGGGGACAGTGACGGCAAGGAGGTGATAGTTAGTCAGTGAGGGATGGAATGATGGCTGCCTGGAAGGGTGCATGGGGACCCTTCTTTTCTCGTCATTTGCCCGCACTATAATCACGTTTCATGTTTGCATAATCGAGGAGGACCACGCTCGAGGTGCGTGGGACAACGTCATCACCATCACCATCACCATCACATAATCGAGGACCACGCTCGAGGTGCGTGGGACAACGCCATCACCATCACCATCACCATCACCGTCATCACCATCACCATCCTCATCACCATCACCATCACCATCACCATCACCATCACCATCACCATCATCACCATCACCATCCTCATCACCATCACCATCACCATCACCATCAGCATCAGCATCACCATCAGCATCAGCATCCTCATCAGCATCAGCATCCTCATCCTCATTACCATCCTCATCACCATCACCATCACCATCATTTTATCCCCATTGTCATCGTGAAGAGCTTCTAGGCCGATCTGGGCGAGACTGCTTATCATCATCAGCAGCAGCAGCACTGCCAGCGTCATACCGATCACCACGACGACCGTCCTGGTCGTAATCACATATTTATCGCCTCTTCCACTAGGAAAGCCAAGCCAATCACGGTTCGAGCTGCCCGTCCAAGCAGAGTAGAAGACGTAGTCTCCAATACCGAGATGTCGACGAAACCTGCGCTTTTTTTTGTTTAACTCAGCCCACCCGTTACGGATTCATTCAGAGCCGGAGGAGTGACGGGTCTTCCTGGGCATACTCCCGCCTTGCGAATCCGGCGCGATGGTGCTCTATTCAACGCCAGCGGCCGGTTTTCGGGGTTTCTTGCCGCACTAGCAAGATAATCCCGTGCGCTCCCGCATGCATGCCTATCTTAGTGGGTTGTTCCACGACTCTCGACCTTCTTCCGGCAGCGATTGGGTCCAACCAGCCAGACGACAGCAAAACACTTGCTTCTTCCCGGAGCGACGCGCGAGAGTGAAAGGCATTAGAAGAGCCAGCAAAACACTTGCTTCTTCCCGGAGCGAAGCGATTGGGATCAACCAGACCGGCGACAGCAAACGCGCGAGAGTGAAAGGCATTAGAAGAGCCGTAGAGCCTCCTCTCGCCCTCCGATGCTAAAACTTCAATAACCGGTCATGGGGAACCTGTTGCCAGTGGATGCTGTCGATCTGAGCAGGGCTGCTGCGATCGACAGGCTACTCTATCGTCGCATTCATGGGCTCTCTGGAACTGCTGAACCAGGTGGCAATGGCTTGGATTTCGATCTGGTGTGTGACACGACGATGGATTTGCCGCCTCCATCGGCAGGGGTGAAAAGTCGGATGGAGAGGTTGATTTTACTGGAGCACGTCGAGAGGGTCGTGGGCTGGCTCGTACTCACGGTGGTCCTCATTATCCTTGGATCGTTTGGCGGGAGCATGGAGGGAGCGGCATTCTGGCTTTGCGTGGGCGTGCTCGTCGTCGAAACTATGTTGAAACTCACCCGAATGTTCGTTCAGGACTACGTCGCCAGTGGCGTGCGTTGCAGTTTCGTCATGCTCCAGTTCGCTGAGGACTCCAGTCGTTATCATAGCTACCTTGCGGCGGTGTGGTTCTTGCGAGTGTCAGGCATTCTATCGCAGGGAGTGTTGGCTGGGACGCTGGCTGGGCGAGTTACTTCTCAAAAAGCACTGCCCATCGAGGATCCAAGTAAGGACAGGCTTCTAGAGACCATACACTGCTGCTATGGCGTCGTCTTTTTGGAGGTCGTTATCTCCCTCTTCATCGTCTGGCTCAACTCGTTCCATTCCACACCTTTCTCGCTTGTCTTGGGTCTGAAGCGCCTGGTTTCGAGTCGAGCAGCACCCCTCTGCCGCAGTTCAACCGACACATGGACGCCTGACGCAGTGCCTGAGAGCAGGGAGGCCATAAGGAGCTTACCACGGGCCATTCGAGAGAGCCGGGCGATCGAAGACCTATCGGCTCTCGTGTGGTACTTGCACTGCAAGCAACACCCTCTGTTGCCCGCTGTGTGCGCCTACCAAACCGACGGGAACTGCGGCCTGCCCGGACACTGGTTCCTTACCGTGGAGCAGCTGCTCAAGCGTGCTTTCGGTCCCCGCAGCAGGTACAGAAAGAAGTCTTTATTCCCAGACATGCAGTCCAACGGAGTGGATATGGACCAGGAGATGGCCCTGGACGCACTGGCCCGGTTCGCCAAGAGCCGCGATCGGCACGTTTGCGACTTGATCGTCAGAGAAGACGGGACGGGTATTCGTGAGCTTTGCAAAATCGTTGACGGCCACAGGTCCGCGGGATGCCGGGAAAGGGCAGTTGCGGTCCTCAGTCACTTGTCACAGATAAGTAGGAGGGAACGAGAGTCGGGGATGGCGGATCCGTACGATCCGCTCCGTCCCCTGGATCACCTCCAGGTGAGCGGACTGGGATTCCATATGCTAAATGCTTTGGTGTCCAGCGACTCTCCCCACGTCCGGGAGAATGCCGCCGCAGCACTTTTTGTGCTCTGCGAACGATACCGACTCCAGGAAGTTATGTTCTGCGGGGAACAGGGTAAAATTCTATTCGAAGAGATGGCAACCATGACAGCAGGTGGGAAATTGACGGACGCAGGCTGCGAGTACACCTTCAGGGTCTTCGGAATGGTACTGCATAGGCATGTACCGTATGCGCATTCAGTGAGGCTGGAGGAAGTCCAGAGCTTCACGCAGCTTTCTGCAGCATCACAGTCTCCAAAAATAGAATGGAAAACACCTCGGCGGGAGGTGATCTTCGGCGTTCACCACCGCCACAGCTGCTTGAAATATGAACAGTCCTGTATCCTACCCCCGCGAGGCGCTTTTCGGGAGTCCAGAGCACTTCCGCTGATCGTAGACTTTTCTGTGGCCCCCTGGGGGTCTCAACTCTGCGCATTTAACTTAGCCCACGTCTTCTTATGTTATCATGCCCTTGGCTCACATCACCTTTTCCCTTTCGAGGTTGCCGAGCTGACACGTCTTCTGCACATGCGGTTCGAACGACTGCCCATCAATATGGTGTACGTACTGGTGGCATTCTGCGACTTGTTCCTGAGGTACTTCTCAGATGATCACCTGCCCCTTGATGGTCCCGACCGCAGGGTGGAGATCCAGATTGATCGCGACATCGTCCCCAGGCTGATCACACAGGAGCGAAGAAGGTTGGTAACCAACCTTGTTCGTTTTATCGACTACTTATCCTCTATCCTGCCCTTAGAGCCCTCGTGGCAGGATTTCATGACCAACATTCACCAAGACGACCATGACCGTTTCCCTATCCTTGATGGTTTTATAGACCACTTGTCCGCTATCAAGCCCTACGAGGACTCGTGGCGGGATTTCATGACCTTCATTTACCACGACCATAGCCGTTTGCCTACCCTGACACGGGCATACCGCAGCCCTGCCAGGTTGCTGTCTTATCTCCTGGCCAACCACTTCGATCTTCTTAGCGACGAGATTGACGAGGTTTTCATCGAGACCCAGTCAAACTCTCGCCCCGCTCTGCTAAAGGGGTCCAAAGAACACGCAACCATGTGGTGGTGGTTGGCATATCTGATTGTCGAGAAAGAAGAATCAAGGAATACTAAGTTGAATGCCTGCATGGCTCTCACTCGCCTAGCAACACACAGGGGCAACTGTCTTCTCCCCAATGCTGTCAAACCCTGGAGATCTGTCCTCAAATTCCACTCCGTCCATGACTGTGCTATACTGAACGAGCCTGCGTTTCAACGGCTGGCGGGCGTTCTCAGAAACCATTTGCCCGGCTTTGGCCTCGAGCCACACGTAGTTGGGATTGACTCATCAAAGTCAGTCAGTCAAGCCGGGCAACGTCCTGGTGCATCATCGTCCCGAGAGGCTTCTGCTGATGTCCAGATGCTAGCCTGTGGAATCTTAAGTCCCAATGACTGAGGGTGCTAACTCTGTTGGCTATGCGGATTGTCTGAGCCTTGGACAGGGGCAGGTTAGAAATTAAGTGTAGACTAGGTGACATGGTAGACATCTCGTACTAGGATATATATACAGGGGGTTGTTGGTCGGCTAAGGATATAGCTTGAATTTGCTAGGGACGACGGAGGGATATTCCCACAATTTCCCAGTATCCCGATAGGCCTAGAAGTGTTCTGCAGCTGTCCCGTAGGTGAAGAGGGTCCAAGCCCGAAGGTACACGGACGGCATTAAAACGACTGCAAAAGGGAACATCCGGTAGGCCCAGGACACCAATGGGACGGCCTGGCCGGGTACAGGCTAGAAGTGCCCGGGAGCCTGGGCAGCTGAAACGGTTTCACCTAGTTCGCGGGAGAGTGCAGATCCCCCCCAGGGCTCGACCCCTAGACCTAACCCGAACCCCTGTACAGCTACCTGTTGAACCTGTGTGCCTTGAACCGGTGACCTGTTTCCTAAAACGTAAGTTTGAGGCTCATGCGTACAGGTGTGATCGCGTGGACTTGACCCGTAGACCTTGGGATTAGTAGCTGAGGGTCAGTCCTGTGGGTTAGCCCTCAGCATAGCGAAAGGGCAGTCAAACGTAGTCTAGGAAGTTCTAGAAGCCGCTATTTGGCTCTTCGGAGCCATAGGAGTCAGTGTCTGTAGCTGAGTCAGCAAGGGTCAGTCTAGTCCTAGTCCAGTCAGCAGTCTCAGTCGCAGTCCACCTTGTCCAGTCAGCAAGTACCAGGTGGGGCCGCACATCACTGGGGCCTGGGACCGAAGGCAGGCCAGACCACCAGCGAAACAGAATAAATAAAGAGGAAGCGCCCAGCCATTCATTAAAGAGGCAGAGCCCAGCCATTCATTCATTCTCCTGCGGAAGCGCTGCTTATGTGACTTGTGCATCGGAGGTCTGCAGGAGCCCGACGACRAAGTGGGCTAGTGGAAGAAGACAGCGGCCRYAGCCGAGTGAGASAGGAGGAAGACGACGGCGGCCATAGCCGCCAGCTTGTTGACGACAACAATATTGTGTGTGTGTGTGCATGGRCATTCAGGTAGATCCTAGTGCGTGTGTSTGCAAGTGAGAGTGCGTCTGTTGGTGGACACAGTGTTCGGTGGGAATTCAGAACAGCGTGCAGCGGCCATTGCCGCTACATGTGACGAGTTGACTTAAGCTGAGTTCCTGGCCTTCGGCCATATTTCTGAGTTTTGTGTGTGGGCGCTACTCCATTGCAAGTTTGCCGTGGATTCTGAGTTGACGAAGTTGTGCTGCCATCGACACTTACATGTATGCATGTTGCGAGTGAAATTGAGACAAGTCTGACTGCACAGCAAGAGTTCGTATTGAAAATTCCAGAATAATTCAGTTAGAGGTTTTAGGTATCGCACCGTAACTACATCATCAGCGCAAGAAATTTGCGCTGCAGACCTTCTACCTCCGACTGCTCAGTCCAAATCTCCACTGCTTAGAATAATACTAACTTAGCACCCACAGTGCCGGCGATGCCCGCACAGTGAACAAACAAAGAAACAAAAAAAAAAGAGATGCTGTTCATTCATGTGATTTGGCTCTATTTCTCTCTTACCCCTCTTCTCTCCCTCATAGATGCATTCATCTTTTATCTGAAAAGAGCATATCCTCTCTCTCTCTCTCTCTCTCTCTCTCTCTCTCTCTCTCTCTCTCT